TTTCACCAAAAAAAAAAAAAAGGTCCTCAAGGTCGAGAAGGGAGAGTGTTGACATGTCATGGGGTTGTTAACCAATGTCATAAAACAATATGTGTGCTGACTGTTTAATGAGAAACTATTTATTCTGTAAACCTTCATCTAAAGTACAATAAAAAATTTTAAAAAAAAAGTTTGGAGACTATTGGGCTAAACAATAATGCTTTCTCATAATACACTTAATTGGCGCTCTATGGTCAATTCCTATTAACATGTTAAATTCTAGTTGTTTGGCTAATAAAATATTTTGTATTTATTAGGTGTTTAGATGGTAAAATAATGTTCTTATTACTAAAATCAGACCTCACTGTCAGCTTTCTTTCTGAGTAATATCTTCTCATTCAGGCCTACTCATAAAGACAGTCTCCATAGTTTAAAAAAAATTTTGTCTTTACTTCAGAATTAAAACTAATAAGCAATCAAAGATTGTTTAAAAAACAGATGACATTCAAGGCAAAATTTCAAACACATATAGTGCTTACAATGTGCAGGCACTATTCTAAGTTCTTTTGCATTTAATCTTCATAACACTATTATTATCCTAGTATTTCAATGGGGAAATTTACTTTCGTAAAACTCCAGCCATCTCTAAGACCATGGTAAATAAGGTTTTCAATAAACAGGTTCTGAAAGACAAACCTTTATTCACTGTGCCTTCCGATTTTTCCATCTACCTATTGTCAAGTAGGAACCCTGGTGGCACAGTGGTTAAGAGCTCAGCTGCTAACCAAAAGGTCGGCAGTTTGAATCCACAAGCCGCTCCCTGGAAACTCTATGGGGCAGTTCTACTCTATCCTATAGGGTAGCTATGAGTTGGAATCAACTCAATGACAACAGGTTCGGTTTTTGATTATTGTCAAGGAATCCTTGTTCTACCAGTTACTAACTGTGTGCCTTAGATTCCTTGTCTGCGCCAAGTTCACATATTAGAGCAGCTATTATATGCCAGGCACTGCTCTTGGCTAAAGGATATAGCAGTGAACAAAAGACAAAACCCTCCTCTCAAGGAGCCTATTAGGTAATACCTACAGAAGGCACCTGGCACAGAAGATAAGTGCTCCTTATAATGTTAGCCATTATTATTTCCCAAAACTAAGGGCTACTTTAGTCCCATTGTCACTATAAAGTAAATCCCATTTGCCTTACATTCTACTTAGCCGCTATCTGTTTTTTAGCTGGTAAAAAAGGACTGAAAAGGGGACAGTTAAATAATGATTAATCAGAATTTGGACCAGACAAGCATACACACACTCTCCCTCTCCTTGAAAAGAACTGTTGTCAAGCTCTATAGACCCAGCCAGCTACTGAGGGTAAAACATATCACAGCTAGGGAACAATGCTCTGCAAAGGACCTTTGATGGATAGCATCCTGCCCAGCTAGGGATCCTCCCAGGACTTTTCAATGATGCTGATGAAGGTCTATTTACACCTGGAGGTTATAGCTGATGAACTGCTGCTCGTCTGACAGCTGCAAAATTTAAGGGCAGTGCAACTTAATCCCTAATGATGACCGCCTCCAGGCTGCCCTTACAGGCCTGCCATGAGAACATCTTTTTATTTATTCAGAATTATTATATAATCACAGACCATGCTGTCCATGGTTACCGCTGCTACACTGAAAGCACTGCTCAAGCAGCCTGCCTTTCAGCACAGAGTATCAATCCACCAGCAGGAGAACAGAAGAATTCTACTGAATCCAAAGTAAACACATGAAGTAAAATGATAACAGGAACTCTCAAGAGAGCTAGCACTTGCCTTATAAGCAGCTTAGATCACTTCACAAACATCTCACTAAATCCAAATATCTGTGACAGGCCCACACCTCCACCCTGGGGGTAACATGCTACTGGCCACCACTGAAGACAGGGCATGCCTGGAGTTTTGGGTTACAACCACAAAAAATTTGTGAAATGCCAGGTAAAGCGTATTTCCTAATATATGTATTTCACACCATTCTGCTAAAATGAAAGAAAATCTGCAGCAAAATGTTTGCAATTTGCTGAGCATCTACAAAGCCAGGTACGTGGCCGTGATCTGACCTCACCCTTGGTATTTGCTCTGTCAGCATTAGAAAAATATTAAATCCTCCTCACTGCTTCCTCCTCCCCATATTTATGCACCTAAATTCAATATCAGGTTGCTGGCTTCAGACTCAGCCTGGCTCCCTTCAGGCAGTTCAACAACAGAACAAGAAAGATAAGAAAGGGGGTACAGGCTAAGCCCCATCTCTGCACTGCCCCTATTGGAGGAGCCCCTCCTCTCCATCTGGGAAGAATTTTCGGCAGATAAGACTTTAGATCATAGAGACCTCCCCCCTCCAACACACACACATACACATTGGGCCCTTATGCTTCTGTGTAAACCACAGTCCCTTTCTGAGACCAGATGAGTGTTAACTGGACTTTCTACCAGTTCCAACACAGCGCATGCCCACTTAGGACAGCCACTTCCATCCAACCTCTCATCCCTGTGGTCTTGATGCTCCCCCAACCCCCACTTTCATCTCCTCTTTAGGTATTTTGTCCATTCCTCAATCCTCCATCAACAACCCCTTCTCTCTCCCTCTCCACTACAGCTTCTAGAACCTTTCCTCCACTATTAAATTCCCTAGGGGTTAAGGGCAAGAGGGGCTTTGGAGTCAAAGGAATCTGGTTGAGTGCAGCCTCCACCATTTTCTGGATGTATAACTTTGGATTGCCTAATCTCTTAAACCTGAGATACCTCATCTGTACAACAGTGCTTACCTCATCTCTGAAAGTGAGGATTAAAGGAAAATACACATGAAGCACTTAGCAAAATCCCCAGCACACATTCAAATACTTCATAAGTACCCATTTTGACTGGGAAAATGTTTCATAAATGGTAACGATTATCATTCTCTCCCTTCACCACCTTTGGACAGGGGTTCTCTCCAGCTGGAGGCCTGGCTAAGGTAGGGCTCTGGCCCAGGTCCGTGCTTCCAGCAGCAAAGATCAGACATCTCCAGCCCATTTCTCTTCCAACATCATGCAAAAATTTATCCTCCTTTGAGGCTTTCCCTACTCAGTCATACTACCTCCTACCCCAGTTCTCAGCTGTCACTTACCTATTTTTGGAAAAGTCCCCTCATTCACCAAAAAGGAGGTAGGAGAGATTAGCGCACAATTTTCAGCCTTTTCTTCTGAGTCGTTCTTCCCCAGTAGTCAGCTCCTAAGAGAACAAGAACAGAGGGATTAAAGGAGGGGACTTGGACCACATGGATCATTTATTAGCTGTGTAACCTTGAGCAATTACTTAAACTCTCTGGCCTCAGTTTCTTCACCTATAAATAGGAATAGTAATGGTACCTATTCATGGGGTTGTACTTAAAGAGTCCAAAGCATTTACCGCAGGGCATTTCACATGTTGTTGTTGTCGTTGTTAGCTGCCATCAAGTTGGCCCCAACTCATGGCAACCCCATGTACAACACAGAGAAATGCTGCCTAGTCCTGTGCCATGTCCATGATTGGTTGCTAATTGAACCACTGTGATCCACAGGGTTTTCACTGGTTGCTTTTCTGAAGAAAATCACCAGGGTTTTCTTCCTAGTTTGTCTTAGTCTGGAAACTCCCAAAACTTGTTCAGCATCATAACATGCAAGCCTCCACTGAAACACAGGTGGTGGCTGCACAGGAGGTGCACTGGCCTAGAACCGAACCCAGTCTCCTGCACAGAAGGCAAGAATTCATCACTGAGCCACCACTGCCCTCTTGCCTAGCACACAGTCAGCACTTAATAAATGACAGCAGTTATTATCAATAGCATACGTTGATCCTCTAGCTTCTAATCCTTCGCTCTTCTTGCCTCTAGTAAACCATTTTCATGGCCACACCTGCAGTCAGAAGGCATAATCCTATGTTTTTGCTTAATGACCACACCCTTAATGACCACACCGTCCTCTTTCCAGCTCTCACGCACCCTCAGAACGCGGTACATCTTCTTTGAAGTCCCCTGCTGTGTACCATCCTTGATTTCCTAACAGCGTGGAACCCACCATTGATCATTCAACTTACTCCCCTGACAACATTCAATTCTCTGCAACCCTCTTCTTTTACCATACCGACTGGAATCAATACTACAGCTCAGCTTCTCCACACCTAAACCATGGGTCCAAAAGACCCGAGAAGTCGCACCACCACACAGAGAGATGCCACTACACCTGAACGTCTCTGACCCAGAAAGGCACTAAGCATCCTAGAAGAGCTCTCCCTAACTCCCCTCAGCAATCATTTCAAACTTCTGGCATTCTCCTTAACCTGGCCCTAACAAATGTCTTTTCCTCCTGCTTCACCCAGAAAACCAAAGACAAAGGGCTTGATATGCTCTCACCCCAACTTCCTGCCCCTATTCCTTACCTATCCACATGCAGCTCCTGAGCTTTTCCACTTCATTCCTATTCCAAATCAACCTTCCATTGGCCTTTCCTACAGCTCCCCTCCTGCCCTCCTCACTCCATCCATATTTAACCACTTAAGTTCCTGCACACACCACTCCACCACACAGTTTAGTTTCCTGCCTCAGCTCATGGGGCACCCCCCTGCCCAACCCATACTTCACTGGCTATTCCCTTGGGATGCAGCTCAAGAATCACCTCCTCCAGGAAGCCCCTCCTCACTCCCTCTACTGAGGCTTCTCTAACACCCTCTGTCAAATGCACTTTTGTGGGTCTCTCCCTGAGAACAGAAGCTGCATTATGCATCATGAATGCCCAGCATCAGCAGAGTGGTGTGCCAATAGTTGTTTAATAGATAAAAGGATGAGTACAGCAGACCCTGCTTCTACTCTGAAATGTTTTTAATACCAATTAAAGTCATAGCCAGCCACTTACATACGATACCGTATATTTTCTTCGTCTGATCAAGACTGAGAAACATCCCCTCCCCCTGCCTTCCCAGAACAAATCTTCCTTTGATGAAAGAAACAACCAGAAACAAAACTACTACTTCCTTCTCAACAAAAACAGAAAACCCAAAATAGCAAAGCAGTTTATGAAAAATATCCAGCTGACACTGGCTTAGGTAGGGATAAATCCAGTTGTCAGAGCTTAAGAAGAGAAAGGGAAGTTTATTTTGGATTGCTATTTATGGGAGGCAACAATATTCAAGTGCTAAACAAGAAAGCTGACCAAAATAAGTCTCAGGTGTATTTATTAGGCAAGGATGGAAGAGGAAACAGGTAACCCAGTGGAAATTTCCTTCCTTTGTCTAGTTTTACTTCTGATATGGCTACCAAACTACTTTCTCGATCCTAACTCAGGACAATTTTAATTTCTAGGAAGTAATTCTGAAGGGCCTTGGGAAGCTGCAGGTGGCACCTCAGGGGCCCATCTGTTTAAGGATGAAAGCTTGAAGCACACCATTACATCATGCTGACCTTCCTCAGCAACTTCCTATCTGACAAAATCTAGATGCTTGCTCTGTCAACAAGATATTTGTGTTTGTCCCCAGCCTTGGGCTTTGGTTCCTGATTAGTTTTAAAATCATTATGCACCCTAACTGAATAGGGCCACTGTTAGCAGCTGTAAGGTCCTCTTCCGGGCAAAGCTCCAAGTCTGTGGCCTTCAGGGAGTGATTTCTATCCTTTTTGCATAATTACACTCTCCCCTGATTGATGAGCTGATCAATCCTCCTACCTCCTCCAGAGATAAAGCCTCTCTCCTCCTGCTCTATTTATTTTCCCAGGGGAGCAGAGGGGAGGGAGGAATGGTGTGGTGAGGTTAGCCTTGGGCTCTCCCCCAAATAAACGCTCGGGCACTATGCAAGTCCAGCAGTTCAGTACCATCCCAGTACACACTCACCATCTCTTCCAGCCATCTTTCGAGCTGCACACACTGGTGAAAACAGTTTGAAGTATTGAAAACACTTGCCAGGGAAACACCTGTCATTTCCTGGATGCCCAGAGGCCCCCCAGAGCCCCAGAGCCCACCCACACAGACCCAGTTCTTCAGTCAAGCATGGTCACATAATCAGTCACATCTGTGATCACCTTGGAACGTGCCTACATTACCTACACCCTCTCCAACCTTCACCCTCCTCTATGCTGAACAGGAGTCACTGGGTGGTGCAATCAGTGAACACGCTCAGCTGTTAAATGAAACGCTAGAGGTTTGAGTCCCCCCAGAGGCTCCTCGAAATAAAGGCCTGGCAATCTACTTCCAAAATATCAGCCATTGCAAACACTATGAAGCACGGTTCTACTCTGACACACATAAGGTTGTCATGAGCCAGAGTCGACTCAATGGCAACTGGTTTTTTCTACACTGAACAGGGCACAAACACACATTACTAACTGTGAAGTGCCTGGTAGATACTAGACAACAAACCTGGCAGAGAATGTAGAAATTACATTTTTAAACATTTTTTTTTTTTTTAGTGGGGTTGGGAGGAGTGGCATGCACTGATGTTTGCAATTTTGAAGTAACTTTAAAAAAAAAATAAGATGGATTGGTGAGTAGATATGTAATAAAGCAAAGATCACAAAATCTTAAATTACAGATTCTAGGTGGTAGGTAAGTGGGTTTCACTGTAGAATTCTTTCAACTTATCTCTATGTTTGAGAGTTTACATAATAAAATGTTGGAAAAAGTTTTGTGTGCAGTTGGAAAAAAAAATCAATTAGAATTCGAATTTGACCAATTTTTCCACTAATATCCTTTTTTCTATTCCAGGATCAAAACCCAGTATACCACATTGCATTTAGTTGTTATATGTCCTTAGTCGCCTCTGGATTGACAATTTCTCATTCTTTCCTTGTTTTTCATGGCCTTGACAGCTATAAGTAGTATAAGGAGTATAGGTCAGGTATTTCTCAGAATGTCCCTCAATTTGAGTTTGTCGAATGTTTTTGCTCATGGTTAGACTGTGGTTATGGATTTTGGGGGAGAAAACAACAGAAGTAAAGCATATAAGGGTCATGCTATCAACATGACTTATCACTGAGAGTGTGTAGCTTGATCACTTGGGTAAGGTAGTATCTGACAGGTTTCTCCACCGTAAATTTACTGGTTTTCCCCCTTTCTGTACTCTATTTGTTAGCAACAAGTCACGAAATCCAGCCCAGACTCAAGAGAAGGGATTATGCCCTGAAGGAGGAAGTATCTACATAAATTATTTAGAATTCTTCTATAAAGATTTGTCTTTTCTCCCTTTATAACCCACCTACTGCCATCCAGTCAATTCTGATTCATAGAGACCCTATGGGACAGAGTAGAACTGCCCAATAGGGTTTCCAAGGCTGTAAATCTTTATGGAAGCAGACTGCCACATCTTTCTCCCACGGAGTGGCTGGTGGGTTCAAACTAATGACCTTTCGGTTAGCAACTGAGCGCTTTAACAACTGCACCACCTAGGCTCCTTTTTCTCCATGTATAGACTTATGTATACTTGTTTTACAGTTTGGGTTATAATCCTGTACTACGTTATTTTGTTGCTCAAATTATTTCAGCCTAGGTCATTTGGAGCTCTTTGAAGTTGGCTCCTTTGTCCTTTTGACAAGCCACAGCCTTTCTTTTTTGAGCACTTTCTTATTTTCTGGCAATACAAGTTGCTCCAGCCCTATAATTACCCATAGTAGCCCTAGTTCTTTTCATTGAAGAATGGTGTTTAGAAACCAAGTTCTGGGTGTGTGTTCATGACTACTTAGGTGTCACTGCTTCTAAGCCCTCTTAGAGGAAAAATCTAGGAAATACAGTCATGTATCACTTAACGTCTACGATACGTTCTGTGAAATAGGATATAACGTGATTTGATGTGCAAACAGCATATTATATACTTAGCAAAGCTATACGGGATAACTTTTGTTTCACTTCCAAATCAATACTTCTCCTTTGCCTCTTGCTGCTGCTAGCATTAGCATGGGTTTGGCTGCATTTGGGGGCCATGAGGCACTTCACGGTAATATTTTTGAAAGATAATTAAACAGAGAGATAACGTGCAATACACCAGATTGGATGTTGCTGCCTACAGGTCAAAGCATACACTAATATACAGCAAACTTTTTATTTGTAAGTAGGGAAAGTTCACATTAAAATAATAAAAGTACAGTGCATACATAAGCCAGTAACATAGGGGTTTATTGTGACTATCAAGACATATGTGTTATAGGTTATATATGTACTGTACCATTATATGCCTGGCAGCGCAATCACTTTGTATACAAGAGGCATAAGACA